AGAGAGAGAGAGAGAGAGAGAGAGAGAGAGAGAGAGTGTGTTCTGGCATCAGAATGCATCTAATTTAGCAACCAATATGTACCAGGTGCAGTGATACACACTTGTACCTCAGAAACTCAGGAGTCTAAAGAAGGAGGATGGCAAGAAGTCAGGCCCTGCCCTAGCAACTAAGCAAGACCCTGTCTCAAAACAAAAAAATAAAAAGATTGAGGATGTAGCCAAAAAAAAAAAAAAAAAGCAACTAATATGCACAGATAAGCAATGTTTCTCAATTCTCATATCAAAGCTCATATTAAACTAGAGATGTGTATGGTATGTAGTCTAAATTGCTCTCTTATAACTGAGGATAGCTAGTAGGTTGGGAATCTGGAGACCCTAATTTAAATTTTAACTAGTCCCATGATCTGAAGCAAGTCATTTAACTTAATTTGGGGACAAGTTTATCTTCTGGCTTTCATTACTGTCTTTCTGATAACACTTCACGAAGCCTGAACTCCACTGCCTCATGTTCACCCCTTTGTGCATTTCCTCCCCTCTTTACTGCTCACCTACTGCAATGCCAAGCACTACTCTGGCAACAGAAATATACACAGTAGGCACTGCTACCTCCCAGAAGAAAATCTACACCCAGCCAGGGTGACAGTTACTGCTAATATAGTAAGAGCTGTGAGAGTCCAGGGAGGGCTGAATGAGCTAAGCCTGGTGAAGGTCAGGGATCACTTCCTAGGAGAGGTGATGCTTGCATTAAATCTGGAGGTAATGAGTACACTGAGTACAAAGACATGTGGTTATTCCCCCTCCCCACCAAAAAAAAAAAAAAGGTCTGGTGAATCCTGGTGGTATGTATACAGGTGCTCATTCTCTGTCTTTTAACTTTTCTGTGGGGGTGGATGATGGGAGATGAGCTAGACACTACAACATGGATGAACCTTGAAGACATTATGCTAAATGAAACAAGTCAGGCACAAAAGGACAAATACAGTGAAATTCTATTTACATGAGGATCCTAGAGTGCTCCAATTCACAGAGACAAAAAGTAAAACTGTTGCCAAGGGATGGAGGAAAGAGGGTATAGAGGAATCAGTGTTCAGAGCACAACAAGACAAATATACTTACAGCCACTATTCTGAACGTTTAAAATTGTTAAAATGGAAAATTTTATATTATGTATATTTTATAGTAAAAAAAGATGAGATAGAGTTAAATGTTCTGATATGGAAGGATTCCCAAGATACATGGTTCAGTAAAAAAAAGTAAGCTGAAGAATAGTGTACAGAGTGTAACTCTCCATTTGCATAAAGGAGAAAAAATATGTTTATTTATGCACAGATAATATCTAGAAGGACATCCAAAAAGCTATTAATAATATTAGTTTTCCTCTGGGGCAGAGAAAAGGGCAAAAGAGAAAATGGGGCCTTCTATTTATATTTCAACCACTTATGTAGAATTTCACAAACTTTTTAAATGAATATGTACTACTTTTATAATTAAAGGGAAAAAAAGTACGTAATTTGCCTGGCTATCATGCTACCTACATGTGAATGTCCCTCTCTCTGGGAGCAAATGGGGCTGAGACAGTGTCTGACTTGCCAGTGTCTATCTATCCAATACCCAGCAGGCACTCAAGCACTGACTACTTTAAGATGTGACCACATTATTTAGTGCTGTCTTTTCCAAGCACTGGTGAACCAGTCAATGAGATGAAGAAATAGATAATAAGCCATAACGACAGGCAGTAAAGATGGTCCTGAAGCTTCCTTCAGATCAAAAGCCTTTGTTAGGGAAGGCCACTGTTCTGCCCAAGACCTGACATGTGATCTTACCTCATCATATCCCAAGATTGCTGCATAGAAATTATTTGTCATGAGGATCATGTTCTTCTTCAGGACATAGGAATTAACCTACAAAAACAAAGGGCAAAAACAAAATAGATGAAAGAAAGGAAAAAAGCCAAAAAGTATGACCTTAGGCTCTTTGCTGTCACAGACTGTTAGTAGAACAAAGAGAAAGATATCTTAAGTCTAACTGCCAGTCCAGTCCCAATACCTTTTGTCTATCAGAATTCTCAATTCGCCAACTTTTTTTTTTTTAGGTTTTATGTCAAACTACACAAAGCAATCAGTTTGATGAACTGATCAAACTACACATCTGGTTTTATGTTAGATAATATGAACATGATATATAAGAAATGGTGTCTTAATTGGATGAACATAGTCTACTATGGAAAAAGAGCATATAAAACAACACCACCACCACTGCAACCTGTTGTCTCAAACCTTACTCAAAATGTGCTAAGAGAGAAATGAATTTCAGARCAATGACTTCTTGTTGGGAATGAGTGCTCCAGGAAGTAACACTTAAGTGGACCTGGGACAAGGTCTGACAGGCATGACAGGAGGCAGAGGAGAGGGGCCATTCAAGACAGGAAGAACACAAAAGAAAAAAAAAAAAAAGACAGGGAGAACAAGGTGTGCAGAGGTGAGCAGCAGGAAAAAGAATACCTGGGAGTGTCGAGGAAGGGGAATGGGCAGAAACACTGGAAAAGTATGTTGGTACCTGGTTAGGAAATGTCTCAAGGGCTGCTCAGAAGAGCTTGTCATAATGAAAGACAAAAAGAAGGAAGCTGTCAGAGGTGGGAAGAGGAGGGAGAAAGGCATGACTGTGAGATGGTGAGGAGCACCGAGGGCCTCTGAGGATGTGGAGAGGAACGAAGAATGAGATGGGCAACTTGGAAGCAGTAAGACTAATGCTGAGAGACTGTTTTAGAAAGGCAATTCTTGGGATTGTAGAGACACTCAGAGAATTAGGGAATAGTCAAGGGCACCTTCAGAGCCTGGAGTTCACTGGATGTTTTGACCTTCAGGCAGTAAGTAATACGCTTCAGGGCAAGGTCCAAGTTTTAGTCTTCTCTGGGATCCCAGCAGAAAGCTCTTGTAGTATGTAACACAGAGTAAGGACTCGCTATTTAACCTAACTGGTTTTAGAAACCACCAAACATTATTTGGAACTTATAGAAGAATAACAACCCTCTCCATGACCTCGTCCACCATAATCTCCATTTACTGAGTACCACCTGCTATGGGCCAGGTGCTTTATTAACATCATCTCTTCTAATCCCCACTAGAAGTTCACAGAGGCAGATAGATGTGTGTTACAATCACCTACATGTGACTGCTTGAGGCACTCACGGAGGTGAAGTGACTTGCCCTAAGTCACACAGCAAATCAGCGATAAAACTGGGATTGGCATTCAGGTCAGTCTGAATACAAAGTCCATACTGCCTTCCATTCCACAGATGCCTGCCTCCAAGAGGAAAATTTTACTTAGGATCACAAATCAAAAGACTGAGAGTGATCTTATCCTATGGTCATAACTATTGTCTGAAGAAGAGCAGGAAAGGAAAAGGATTTGGATTTAGAATCAAAATCCTGAGTCCAAGTCATAGTTCTCCTATGTACATCAGATGTGATCTTCAGCAAGTAAAATAACCTCTCCAAGTCCATTTTCTTGTCTTTTAAATGCCCTGCACACAAGGGTTATTTTCAAGAGCAAATGAGTTAGTGTATATTCATTCATTAATTTAACAACATATGTTGAAAGCCTTCGTAAACTGCACAGGGCAAGGAATTATGAGTAATAACTTCTGGTTTGTTTATGTAAAACTAAAACCAGTTCCAATACTTTATAGTCATGGATAATTTTCAAAAACAAAAAGAGAAATGTGAAGCTCAAGGCTGGAAAATGTGAGATTGGTGGCAGAGGGGAGTGCAAACCACAACCTTTCCCACCATCTTCAACCAGGGTGGCATCAGCCATCCATCCTCTGTGTTCTCAGAGCAYGGTGTACACTTTTCCCCCTGGGTACACAACATGGTTTAGAGTTGCTTATGCACCTGCCTCTCTCACCAAACTAGAAGCTACAAGGGTCACAGACATTGTGACTGATTAATCTCAGCACCCCAACAGGTGGTCCATAGCCAGAGACAGGGGCAGGGCAATACAGATATGCTGTTAACAGAATCTTTACAAGGGTACCACTCAGAGCATGTTTGGTTCAATGACACCGTTGCTTTGTTCTGTTTGGGGTTTTGCTACTAAACAACTTCCATGTTTCTGAAAAATCCAGAAACATATCACCAAACTTCTGCTCATCTTCCAAATCAAGAAAACACACCAGAGCTAGAGTTCATTCCTTCTGGCTTGTGAAGATGCAACTTTGACCCAAACTACTTAATACCCATTTGGAGGCTCTCCCTGTTCCCAGGCCAGTTGTTTTCTTAACTGTGCAAGAAGCACCTGAGCCACAAAAAGACATCAGGGGTGTCAAACACCATAAAGCAGGAGGACCTCTCAGAGGAAAACATTCACAAATCTGCTSTGTGGAACCAGTGTACATGTTGAATCACACCATTAAGCTCTGGAGCTAGAAGAACCCTCAGAGATCGCCTACCTCAATACCCCTGAGGAGATGGCCCAAAAGGGGATAGACACTCATCCAAGGTCACACATCAAGTTAGTGCCAGAACCAGGATTAGAATCTAATTTCTGGGCCAGTACTTTTCCTACTTCACCCTTTGCAGAGTATTTTCAGAGATCACCAACATATTAATCTGCAAACCTCAGTTCTTGCTTCCCTGCAAGACCCAAGTATGAACAAAAACACGTTCTCCTCTTGGGATACACCTGCATCCTGGCTGTCTGTTGCCCAGAAAAAACAAACTGCAGGAGTGGAGCTCTTTATTAGCAAGGTTCCTCTACCTCCTGGTCCTCTATTCTAAGTCCATTGACCTATAAGCTGCTTCTCCCCGTCACCTCCAGTTGAGAGATGGCAAGCTGCCACAGACAGGGATGGTTTTCAGATCTCATCACCAGGCTGGATTAGATCATGAAAAGGACTCTTCCTGGAAGACAGTGGAAGCTCAATCAGTGCAGACACGTGATCTATAGGCAACAGGTGAGGGAAAGTGACAGCAGCTTCCTGAACTACTGAACTCACCTCACTGGGCCTTTCTTGCCAGCCTAACAGTGAAGAGGAACTGAATATTCCCTCTGGTGAACCCTACTGTATTTTATTCCCTACTTAAGCTCTTGTTTGCTGGTATGCAGGTTCTCTTTCTACTTATTGCCAGATCATTCTGTATGGAGCACCAAGCCTGTAGAGATGCCCCTAGCAGAAGAGAAACTCCTCCCAGATAATGTTGGGCTGCTTGCTTATTAAACTCTTATCCTTTCCATAATGATTTGCTTTTTATAAAAACCCATACATACTGCACTACCACATGGGAAAGGTTCCTTTTATATCAGTTACTCATATTTTCCCATTTATTTAAGCTATTAAAATTCATGCAGATATTTTATAAGCCATCAGGATTCGGTGCCTGGTATTACTGAATGTTTAATAATAAACTAAACAGAAGAAATCAGAGGGTTAAATGATGACTGCAATTCCTGTAATGACTTAATTAAATTTTTATTGAGTACATAAACTATGATGTCATTTCTAGCCAACCATGGCTCTGCTTTCCCAGCATGTCACAGGGTGGGAGCACTCAATAGGAGGCTAAGCTAAATGAGCAGCAGGTCTCTGCTGAAATGGGGAGGGGAGCAAGGCTCATGTAACACACTCAATAAATTATCCGTTCATTTTTAAACAAAGTCCGTGAGTTATAATATATTTGCCATGCACTTTTTATGACATAATAAAAATGTTACCTTAAGGATTACTTAACACATACTACAAATGTTATAGCAGAGGCAGGCACAAGGGGCAAAGAAAACAAACATAAGCAGGCCAGGGACGGGTCCTGGAGTTTATGTCCCAAGGGAACAACGTAGTATATTAAAAAGGGAATGCAAAAAAAAAAAAGTGGGGGGATACAAGAGTTCAGGGCTACTAATCAGCAGATTAATGAATGACAACCAACAGGGAACACAGCAATAAGGAATCTTGCAAGGCACATGTTCAATTAATGTAGTATTCTCAAGGAGGAATATTAACTTTAAAGAGATGCCAGTTCATTTGAGGCCAATTCACTGCCCCTTTCCCCCTTTTCACTGTTGCAGCTCTTAAAGACATTCATGTAACTGCTTAACAGAGGAACCAGACTATGTGAATAGAAGAACTGAAAGGAGATCCAGTTCGAAGTTCTCCATAAGCTCTAGAAGGTTCTTTGAGATTGGTCCTTGGTATCTTTTCTGCCTCACCTCCTCTTGCCTCCCCACTTTCATCTAAGAGTTGACTCTGCAATTTCCACAGCTATGTCATGGTCTCTGACGTTTCAGCCACGTTGCTGCCAGGAATCCTTCTCTTCTTTATCTACTAATGGAAGGGATGCTAATACCTTCTTGCCTTCTAAGACCTAGCTCCCAAATTACATTCTCTATAAAGCCTCTCCCCTCCCCAATCCACAGGTGCCACAAAAATTATCAGAATCCTGAAGCAGGTCCCATAAGTCACTGTGACCAAGTGCCAAGAGCTGTGCTTAGAGCTTTATGCATATTAGCTTAATCCTTCCCAATGACTCTATGGCACAGATACTGCTATTATCTCCACTTTAGAAAAGAGGAAGCTGAGGGGCTGAGGTTGTAGCTTAGTGGTAGAGTGCTTGCTTAAGCACAGGTGAGGCTCTGGGTTCAATCCTCAGCACCACATAAACATAAATAAATAAAATAAAGGTATTGTATCATCTACAACTAGAAAAAAATAAAAATTAAAAAAAAGAAAAGAAAAGAGGAAGCTGATGTCTGGGAAAGTTAAGGCTACTCAGCTAGGAACTAGTCGAATAAAGGTTAGAAGACAGAGCAGTACAATTCCATTAATAATCCATGTTACTATAAATAATGTGGTTACCCTTCATGTGCCCCACACCTCAGCTTAATTGTAGAGGCAAAACAAAAAATG